GGACAAGGCCTATGGGGTCATCATCGAAGGGATCGAACCGTCCCAGTACCAATATGTCGAAGATGCGGAGACGGTCATCGCCGCCTACAAGGCCCTCTCAGACCACCATGAGCCAAAGTCTAAGATCGACAAGCTTGCCCTATCATCCGAGTATCACTCGATGAGCTGGTACATCAAAGAAGAGACCTACCTGAGTTCCTTGAACGGTACGAGGTCGTCTTGCGGAAGTTGAGAGAGTGCAGCACCGGGATCGATACAGCAAGCGCCATCGACCGTCTGCTCTTCCTGATGCCGTGGCAACTGCGCCACATTGCGCATCAAGTTGTCGCCCTACCGGCAGACCAAAAGAACATGACTTTGGTCAGATCAATGCTGGAATCAGAATACAAAGCAGCGGTGATCAACGGGGCAATCACACCTCCTCGTCGGGGTAGCCACGACGACCGGGCACTGAACACCACCATGGTCAATCCACGAAAACCCAAGCGCCAAGGCAAGTGCAACAACTGTGGCATCGAAGGCCACTGGGCACGGGAGTGCCGCAGGAAAAGGAACCCTGGAGTCAAGAACCCAAGACGCTCAAACCACAAGGAAGACCCTAAGGGCGAACAAGGCCAGTTCGCGGGGGAAGACTGCTACCTGTTCTCAGCCACCGTTCAACCAACCCTGAGCGCAGAGGAAGTGGCAGCACTGCGCGTCACCGTCCTCCACAAAGAGATAATTGTCGACTCTGGTGCATCGGCACACATGACCGGGGACGTGGACGCCCTACGAGACGTGAGAGACTGTAGCAGATCAGTCACAGTGGCTAGCGGTACCAAAACCGTCACGACAAAGGTCGGAACCATGACCGTGGAGACATCCATGGGGATGAAGTTGAAACTCCAAGACGTCCTCGTGGTGGAAGGAATCCCCTCGACCTTGATGTCTATCCCTACGCTCATGACGAATGAAAAATGCGGGGCAACATTCATAAACAACATCTACACGCTCACCTGTGACGGAAAATCCATCACCAAAGCGGTACTGCACCCGATACTCAAGGTGTACACCCTTGAGCGGAAGTCCGAATACGCCAACCGATCAACGGACGTATCCAAGGATCCACCCCCCAAAGAAAGAACCATCGCCTACGATAGAAAAGTCAGCTGTGATATCAGCGACTGGGACACCTCCCTATCGAAGCCGTCCGGCGCTGCGGCCTACTCGGATTGGGGCCGCCGCCCAAACTCTTCGCCTTGGAGCACCCATGCGAGTGCTGTGTGAAATCAAAAATGGCAAAAACCCCGGCACCCAAAACGAGCAGCCGGACCTTCAAGCCAGGGGAGTGCTGGGTCTCACACACTAAGGGACCTATGAGCACTGAATCAATGGGAAGATGCAAGTACTACACCGTGTATGTAGACGCCGCCACCGGCTACAAAGTAGTGCGGTTCAACCACTCGACCGACAGCGCCACGCAAGGAGAAAACTTCCTCGAACTCCTGGCCTGGTCGAAGACCCAGACGGGCAATAAGACCCGCATCTTCCGCTCCGACAGCGGATCTGAGTTCATGTCAGATGATTTCAACATGAAGTTACTCGGAGTACGCACCTTCGGGATTCAGCACGAGAAGTCCACTCCAAACAACCAATGGCAGAACGGAATCGCCGAACGAGTCCACAGAACCATCATGGAGATGGCCCTGTCGATGCTCGCCCACGCCGGAATGGCCAAACGCTGGTGGGCCGAGGCGGTGAATACCGCCGTGTTCATCCTTAACCGCGTGGTGCACACCACAGCGGCCAAGGCCACGCCGTCCGAACTATTTCTGCGACACAAGCCCACCTTGGCCAACATAAAGGTCTTCGGGTGCGTCGCCTACAACATGGTGAAAGATCCAACGAAGAGAAACAAACTCTCACCTATAAAGGCACGAAATGCGTGTTCCTCGGATATTCCGACTCGATGAAATCGTACAAACTGTACGACCTCGAGGCCCAAAAGGTCACCACCGGCGTACACGTGACGTTCTCCGAGAACGAGTTCTTTGGGGAGAAGGCCCCTATCGACGACTACCTTTTCACTCACGATGATGAAGAAGAAGATACCTCATCGAGTCCCGGGCAATTGACTACCCCCGTGACACCGACGCCACGACTCCAAGCGCCCGCGGGCACCGAACGCTCACAGCGGATCTCGGCACCAGGCCCACACGCAACGCTAACCAAGAGGTACTTCTCCACACCCGACGTATCGCCCCCGACACCAAGACCTGGACTGCCGGCCCCAAACTGGAAATAATTACGTCAAAGACTTCGCCATAGCAGCTAAAACTCAACACCATGCTCACTCAAATGGAAGATGAAACTCAAAAGACAAGGGGAATTGAGTTACCTCCTGGGACTAACCGGCGCGATCACGCTGTCACAAGCAGCGTATGCCGCAAAGGTTCTTGAGCGCTTCGGCATGTCGGACTGCCATCCGTGCCCAACTCCAGCCGTGCCTGAGCACGAGGACCCAGGTGGGGCTGTGGTAGGTCATGGACGTCACCAAGAGCGGTGATCGTCGTGTGGGCGAGTCAACCGAGGCAGCAAAGACACGCCTGCAGACGGACATGGACAAGGCCTATGGGGTCATCATCGAAGGGATCGAACCGTCCCAGTACCAATATGTCGAAGATGCGGAGACGGTCATCGCCGCCTACAAGGCCCTCTCAGACCACCATGAGCCAAAGTCTAAGATCGACAAGCTTGCCCTATCATCCGAGTATCACTCGATGAGCTGGTACATCAAAGAAGAGACCTACCTGAGTTCCTTGAACGGTACGAGGTCGTCTTGCGGAAGTTGAGAGAGTGCAGCACCGGGATCGATACAGCAAGCGCCATCGACCGTCTGCTCTTCCTGATG